TATTCTATTTTATTCTACTGTATATAGTATTTTATTTTTATTTTATTCCATTCCAGTGTTTTCTAATTTCTGCTACATAACTTTGCACTTTCGCTGTAACGAAAGAAATTTCCCACCTGTGGGACTAATAAAGGTCATCTGATCTTATCTCTAATGCTAATGCTGTCAAACACAACAATCAGATTGCCAGGTGCTGAATCTAACAGGTGGTTTGCTCAGATCTTTGAAGGAGAAATGCTTTATGATCATGTAACCACAATCTTAAAAATCAAACAAAAGCAACTCATCTTAAAAATTTTCAAATGCTAAACGTGTCTGCATGTTTACAGAGATATAGATTTTTTTACTTGGGCACTTGAGGTAATGTCCTCTCTCTGCTGCTCTCCCAAAGTCGCCAGGGTATCCACGGGCTTCTTTTCACAGGGATCTACCAGTCCTGGTCCACCTAGTGGGAAAAACACACTTCATTAGGAGGTATTCAAATCCTAGTGATCAACACACCAACCAGCCAATAGGCCAGATGTTGGAGGTTTGAGTATACGTCACGATTTCTAATGTGAATATAAAACCACCCATCAAACCCTTTGATTGTCACAGATCTGGTTCTTTATATCTTCTTGCATAAAGCATTAGATGCGTTTACACCAAGTGCAGCCTTTACTGCTCTTAGAGCTCTTACAGCAAGGGAAAATAAAATATAAAAGGAAGACACAAGGTGGTCCTATAAACATTAGCAAACAGAAGCAAATCTACTCTACAAACTCGGACCATCTTATCCTGATTGCCAGTGAACGATTTCACTTGCTGCAAAAACTCACCACAAATAACTTGCTCCATTCATCCGGGCATTTTCCTATGCTAATTGTTTTCTAACATTCACACCCCGGCTCCAAAGGATGCATCACAGAAAAACTGGGGCTTGCTATCTCCCCCAAGGCTATTTGGATCGGCCTCCTGATCTACAGCCATGGGTGCACACAGCTTCATGCCCAGACATCTGCATCTGGTGTGCTCCTAAAAGTGTTCCTTTGAAGCATGTATTTTGAATTTGCCTGCACTGAAACGCGATCCAAGTGTCGGGAGAGCACACGAGGTAAACAAATGTTAACTGCTAAAAGAAACCTAGCTGAATTAGGAGAAATAAAGGAAGTGGGTACAGAAACACACCCAATACTTCTGCATGGTTATAAAATCAGTCCTGAAAATGTTCACAATTCAGTGCTCCCTCAGTATTTCACGTTCTCAGCACCTCTGACCTGTGGACACTGAAGAGCTACAGGGGTTGATTTTTGTTGGTGATATTTTACTGAAGCCCTTCAGCTTCCCTGACTGAAGCAATCAGATGGGACAGAAAACCCATTAATGTGTATATTGGGATATATCCCTGTCTCACTGGTACAACATGAGCATGTAATTCAGTCACTGTTAATGTTGGCCAGGAAAAGCATTATGTTGAGATGGGTGGGGGCTGAGCCTCCCTCCATTTCTCT